GGGCCCGGGCTGGGGATTCGAACCCGCCACCTTAGGTATATGTGGCTGGCGCCTTAGCCGCTTGAGCCACAGGCGCCAAGCCAAAAGAACATGACTCCATTTTTTAAAAAAAGTTTTTTTAAAAATAGTATTTATTACTTTGGCTGGGACCTTTCTGCCTCAAAGTTATTATTACATTCATCTTTTTAAAGGTAGGAAAAGAGAGCATTCTCAGTGGACAGCTGCAACAAGGATTTCTTGAAAAAGGTATCAATGTTAGGAGATGAGAACAGAAATGAGCAGCAAGGGGAGGAGCTGGGAGAGGACAAGGGAAGGGGGTGGAAATAGTTTTCATTTCCCTAGATGCCCTTAAATGGACTGGGAAAAGCCTCACAGATGCTCCAAAAAGTCCCACCTTTGGAATGCAACCCATCAGGAAGAAGAAGGGGAACCTTTTGTCCAGTTTTCCACTGTTTTCCTGGGTGTGAGGCCTAGAGGCCCCGTCAGAACAGCAAGTGCTGAAGTGGGGCTCTCATGGCTGGTAGCTGAGCCTTCCTCCTGCCTCAATTTATCCTGAGTACAAGGCAGGCACTGGGGGAATGAACTAATGGCTCCTTCTTAGGAGTTTCTCCCTGGGGCCCCTTCTGAAAAGTAGCCTGAGGACAGAAACTGTTTAAAGAGGGTGTCCTGGACATGAGAAAAATCCCATCTGAATGTGCACAGGCAGTTCTAGTGAAGTAGGAATAACCAGGGCCATACCAGGGAGTCAGGAAATGAACACCTCCCACCCCCAGGAGCTGCTCGCTGGCTTTTGGCTGAACCCATCCAGCCTTAGTTGCCATCATAGGAGGGCAACTGTTCACTGAGGACTACCATACACTGCCGTTAGCATATCTAATCCTCCGAACGATGCTGGGAGGTTGCAGGTGTCTGTACTGTCATTCTCACTTCACCTGAGGCTCAGAGCCACTGTGTAACCTCTCCAGAGTCACTCAGCTAGCCTGTGGAGAAGGATTCAAGCCCAGAGCTATCTCACGTCCCTCTCCCTCCATTGCCCTGTTGTGGTCTGTCCTTCCTACAGGCTTGGGTGGAGCACAGGTAACTTGCTTTCTTTGCGCAAATGTTGACAATGCTCAAGAAGGAAGAACAGGTGTAGATAATAAAAGGGTGGGGCTGTGACTGTGCCAGTCATGCTGGTGCTGGGTTGATACGGTGCCAGTTGCTGAATAAATATAATGAGTAGTCGAGATTTGGGTCAGCTCTCTCCCTCCTGTTGAAAATCTAGAAGGGGAGGATTTGTGTACGCTAGATTCTAGAATCTGCTCAGTGTTAGTCAGAGAGATAGAATCAATAGAATATAGCTATAGGTATATGAGAGGGGATTTATCAAGGAGATCGGTTTATGTGATTGTGGCGGCTGAGAAGTCCCAGGACAGGCTGCCTACAAGCTGGAGATGCTGGGATGCTGGTGGCGGGGCTCAGTTCAAGTCTGAAGTCCTCTGAACTCAGGGAAGTTGATGGTTGAGCTCTCAGTCTAAGGCCAAAGGCCTGAGAACCCAGGAAGCCACTGGTGTAATTCCTGGAGTCTAGAAGGAGCCTGGAATTGTTGTTTAAGGACAGGAGAGGAAAAGTGTATCCCAGTGTCTGCCTGTAGATCAATACATTCCCCTTTTCTCTGTTTTTGTTCTCTCTAGCATCCCAACAGATAAGGCGATACTCCCCCACACAGAGGCTGGATCTTCCCTACCGAGTCCATGCAGACAAACATGCTAATCTACTCTGGAAACACCCCAGACACACCCCCAAATAATGCTTTGCCAGGTTTCTAGGTATTCCTTAATTTAATCTAGTTGACACCTAATATTAACCTTTTAATCATCATACTCCACAACAAAGTAGCCTGGGGCCCAGAGGAAGTCGAGGAGGCATGGCGATGTGGCAGGGAGGGCCTTTGTCTTTAATGTGCTTTGTTATGTGACCCATTGAATAAATCCTTGTGCTCGTCACGAAAATCTATAGTAAAGTTCTGCATTAGTAGCCAAGCTTTGTCTAGTTGGGTGTATTAATTTGTTTTACTTTCAGATATGTTCATGGATAGCTTTAAAAATTAGGTCACCATGTATGAATAAACCCCAGAAAATAACAAGTGTTGGCGAGGATGTGGAGCAACTGGAACCCACGTGCACTCTTTGTGAGGATGTAAATGCTACAGGTGCTGTGGGAAAATGGTATGGCAGTTCCTCAAAAAATTAAGAATAGAATTACCAGATGATTTAGCCATTTCACTTCTGAATACACACACACACAAATTGAAGCAAAGATTCGAA